TGCACACTTCAAGTACTAAGAAACCTCCTAAAAGGAGACGGGAAAGACCCACAAACGGGTTGTAGAACCACTAAAATAAACAATTATGTTATAAATAATTGAACATCGCCACGAAGAGACCTGGCTTTTCCGCGGACCATAGATTACGCATCCCTGGATTATAAGCTACAGTGGTGTACAGACGTTTCCAGAAACATTTAAGATTCCATGATAAGTACTTTGAATCATACTTGCCTGTTAAATCTCCAAATAGGCATGCTTTCTCGATAAGAGAGGGTTAAAGCACGAAGCTCACATCTAGAATTAGGTACAAATTTACCTCTAAGTCCCGTCAAGCATTTGGCCCAAAGAAATTGTTCCGGTTGCCTTTTTACTTCTAACCTACCTGAGAATCTGACAACTGGCTCGCTGTACTCCAGTGCTTATCTAAATCGGAACAGGAAAACGTCCCAGGATTATAAAATGAAGTGTCTAAGCCCTCAGCTCAGGTCCATCCAACACGGCGACCAATTAAAGTAACAAGAGGAAGCAGTCTGAGTCTTCCAATAGCGAAATTCTTCAACGTAAATTAGTCTGAAATCGGATTAGTGTCCGGGCGAGGAAGAAATTAATAGAAAATCCATTAGGGGTTCCAAGGAGAAAGCGGGGATACAGAAGGAAACAATGTTACAAGCAAGGAATGGGTAAGGGGTATTAATTCTCCTGATTGTTTTATATAGGGGATGTACTCGATCGTTTTCATCCCATTACCAGGGAGAGGGCGTGAGGGATCACGGGGCGGGAGAGAGCGAGAGAGAGAGACAGCGACACGCGAGGGTTGAAGAGGGTAGTCGAGACAAATGACTGATACAATGCGTGACGTCCTCTGTTTTAGAATTCGAACCAGGAGATCGAAATAGTTCTCTCTCCACCTTCTTGAAAATTCTAGACAAAGGACAATTAGCAACCCCTTTTAACAGTTCATAATAGAGACAGAAGTTACCATACCTGTGTATGTCTCCACAAAAAAACTTGCAAATCATTTGACGGACTTTCATAAAATTTGGTATAAACGTTATGCTATAGAAGGCTACTACATCTCTGTATTATTTTACTCCATTATCATCAATAATACACAAGTAACGTGGCGTGAGAGACACTTATATAATGTAAAATGGGGAACTAATGCTGGACATTTACACAACAAGTCTCCCACAAGAGTCCACAGACCGGTATTGTACAATTTACTGTTTTCATCACCGACATTTAGGACGAAGCCGTTCAGGGATATTCTGTAGATTGCAGATTCCCAATAGCTTAGGGCAAATGCTAGAACAGACAACACTGCAACACAAGTAATCCACAACCCCAACCAAGCTGTGGGTGTCAAACACATTTTTTAGGATCCAAAATTGTTTCTGCGGACTTGTAAACAAAGCCTGAATTCCTGCCTCGAGCAACGTAACTGGGTAGGAAAAAAAAAATCATCGAACCTTGTAACAACCCACGCAAAATTTAAAATAATACGCTGTCAGATACACGTGGAATAAATTCGGTAAGGGAGCAGTTGCAAACAGAATCGAAGGAGAGTTGCAGTTGAATCCTTTGAAGCCGACACTCGTCCAAATAACACAGAAGAATTTAGTCCGTACAGAAAACCTTCATCACTACAAATAACTGGTTAATGCTGTTTAAGGAAATAATTCATGTTTAGAGTGCCAGTAATACAGTAGAGCTGTCCAACTATACGCCATGTAGGCGCTTGGGGGGAGAGGAGATATAGTTCCTACTCATTCTTGATCTCGGCACTAGATGGTGAGTGGTCAGCGTCACGACCCGACCCCCTCGGGAATCCCCGGGACCCACTGCATAGGAGGCTGGGTGGGCCCCAAAACCGGTGTGACAATCATACGAAACCAATAATTACAAACTTAAGACTTCACTGACTGTTGAATCAGATAAGGCATAGTTATAACTGAGCTGTAAAGGGTTAAATTTAAATCTCTAAGATACTGCGTCATGCCCTGATATTCCGTAAAGTTACCAGACTTTCTGGAAAATCGGAAGCAATCCCAGACCTGAAAGACGAATTGTGTGGCCACAATCGCTACAGATAGAAAAGCAAGCAAAGCGATACATCGAAAAAGTTTGTTAAGACAACGACTAAACACGAGAATACGTTAAGCAGCTGTTACGTGTCTTACAGCGATAAACGAAGAGTCACTGCAGTTGGTTCGCCGACACGTCATTTGCAAGTCTACGTATGATACACAATGAATTTTCTTGCATGTTAAACACATCAGACGACTTCGTACTTTTATAGCCGCGTTTTAAAATGTTAATGACCGTAAATTGGTTGATTCGGTAATAACAGAACCAGGTAGGCCATTATCCTGAATTCAAGTTAACTGGTGTAACCTCTTGAACTAAGTCAAGTAAGTAAAGTTTGTCCCACTATACGCCATGTAGGCGTTTGGGGTGAGTGGAGGTATAGCTCCTCTCTTCCTTGACCTCGGCACTAGATGGGGGTGAGTGGTCAGCATCACGCCCCGGCCGGCTTTACCCCCGGGAAAGGACCCCGTTACCCATTGTAGAGGAGGCTGTGTGGGCCCCAGAGCCGGTCTGGACGCAGAGGCTAGAGGAAAAATCCTCTGCCCCCGTCGGGGATCGAACCGCGGTCGTCCAGCCCGTAACTAGTCACTATCCAGGCTCATCTTGAACCAAGTCGCTAAGTTAAATAAATAAGCAAGAAATCACACGCTTCTGTAACAGTTATAATTTCTGCTGTTTTCACCAGAGAGTGACATCTGAATGAAAGCGAGTGACACTGTTCCCGTGGCCCAGACCGCTCGTCCGAAAAAATTGTTCTACATACATTGGAATTCCCACATTAAATTTCTTAATGATTGGTCACCTTAGTACAAGGCGTCAGTTACAATCCATTCACGGACAACTGGAAATGATTTTGATACAAGGCGCGACGATATTACTCGATCAACATGGGTCTAATGAAGATGGCTGTTTCGGCTTAAGTCGGTAAACGTCACTAGACGACATGACTCGACAATCCACACGTCAGTCATCATCATACCCGCCACGGCGAGAACCCGAACTCAAGACACTGTTGTTAGATAAGCATAACGTGTTCGTTCGATCTTGAAATTTAAATATAAGGCCTTGGTTTCCTAACGTAATTATCCAGACACACATACCCAAGATTTTAGTCATGTCCTCCATCAACTGTGCCTCGAAGTTATCAATGTAAACAAATGACAACCGAAGCACCTCATCTGTGGGTCCTTAAACCTGTATCCTCTCCCTAATGACTCCGGCACGATGAAAGAGATCACAGATCATATTCATCCTCACAGACTTCTATAACACAGGAAAGACAAATCTAAACCTACAGGGGCCAGTATCGACTGACGCAGGGTTAGAACAGCAAACGCCTTGGTTAAATCTGGGTACACTGCCAATGCGTCTAGTGTGGAAAAGCCAAAACCACCGAGAATGCCCCGAGGAAAACAGAGACAGACATGCAGTAACTGCGCCCAAAGAGTTGTTACCAAAACCACCGAGAATGCCCCGAGGATAACAGAGACAGAGATGCAGTAACTGCGCCCAAAGAGTTGTTCCTATGTCAGATTCCTTCGCTCGTAATATTTACCCTCACCCAAAAAATATCCATTCTTGCACCGTACTCCATCTCACAGAAACAAGACACACAGTAACATAAAATCACTTATTTCACTATTACAGGTTGTCCAAAAAGACGTATACACCGACAGCTTCGTGGCACAGCTGACAGCGTTGAGCAAACTGACAAGCGACCATCCTATTATAATTTGTATAAATATTTTTGAAAAACCCTGTATTGCAACTAGTGTGACAATGATGGTTCAACAAGTTGTTTCGCCCGCAAGTTGCTGGCATTATCACGTGGCCAATCGATAAATCAAACTGTGTATCGGCAAAGTGATTAAAGAATAAAAAGTCCATTGCCCGAGGGATTTATCAGTGAGCGCACTGAGACGCCCTCGTGGCTTAGACGTTTAACCATCTGCGTCGTGGTGCCTGACCGACTAGAGCACAAGGAACAAAGTGGCTGGAACTGGGACACGCGTGCCATGTTAGGCTGCGGGAAATTGCACTCTCAGAAACACAAATGCCAACAAACAAAAAAATAATAATTTTTTTTCAGAAGCTTGAAATTACCAACATTTCATCATCGTCACTATTAAAGCCCGCGACTAAACCCTGTCTTTAACCAACTCATTCTGGCTCAAATTTACACAAAGTATTACTGTATTGTATGTTTCAATTCTATCTTCGTATCTTTGTATTTGCCTCTCGCAACGACGTTTTGAAAAGTTTTGTATTTATTTTCCTCTGCAGTCTGCGTCATCACCCACGCTCGGAATCTGCCAAACGCCTTAATAACAGAAGAGAAAGATAGAACTTCTAGATACGCAATTTTCTCAATTTTCCTGTTAATTCTCCTCTTTTCGATCCACCCCTTCTTCTTGCAGTTTGTTTCCAAGCGTCTTCTCCTCCTCCTACGATACAAAATAGTGAAATAAAATAACCTTACTAACTCCACGATAATGAGACTTCCTTCAACAGTTGATACACAGCTGGTATTAAATGAATTTCCTGTTTTTCTTGAACCTGCACGTTCATCGCCGACTTCACACACTCTCCCGACAATGGACCTGTCCTGACTGAAGTAAAAACCAGCTCACATCTTCAGATCTTATTTCACTTACATTCCAACCAAAATTTTATACGGAATTCTTGTTTCTTCGTTACATTCCAAATGTGCTCCCATTTGGTATATTTATTATATTTATTTAGTGTTCTGTCTGACGACAGGTCCATATGAACAGGATCCTTCCATCCTTTTCTCGGACTGGGACCTGTTCATATACGTTCTTGGCAGATGATCCAAAAGTGGTTTGCCATTGCCTTCTTCTGGGGGTGAATGGAGTAATTGTTGGGATGCCAATGAGGAAAACGCCAATAATAAATTTCAGAGGGGTTGTACACGTCACATATGCCCAATAAAATCGACAATCGGCAATCGACATACCCGTGCCGAAGAGACTCTAAAACACGGTTAAAATCGTTTCAACAGCTACTAGAATTCACTAACACAGTCGAAGCTAGTCTTCTGAGTTGCAACGTCGTATGGGCTTATACGTAGATACCAACGTTTCCGAAATACATACTGTCTACATATTCAGGGCTTAAGGTCCCAGAAGACCGGAACATTCACCGCCACGATAACCTCAAATCGCACAAGGACATCCGCAAAGTCTAAGCAGTGTAGAACACAACGTAACAAAAAGAATGACATCGCGTTCCAACGAAAAGTGATAAATTAACACGTAAAAGAAATGTCTCTGAACCCTTCCATTTTGTAATATTCCAAGCCCTTGGGGAAACTCGTAATAATTTGAGTCCATTTATATTTTATTATAGACTGACTACAGCAGTAGAGGTCGGCCACCGCGTGACAAATAGATCCAATCCATTTCACAAGAGGCCACTTTTATTTTATTAGCTTCGCATTACGGATAAAGCAACCCTCGAGCTTAAGCACCATGACATGAAGACAGAGAAATGTAGACTTAAAGCTCCACTCATTCTAGACCTCGGTACCTGGTAATAAATGTCCAGCTTCAACTCAAACGTTTTAAAGACGGTACCTATTTAATTTGACAAACCGTGATAACTCAGTTAATGTTATGGCGGTCTCTTGTCACCACGGCAGATCGCAGATGCAGAACGTACATGAGATAATACGGACAGCTGATAAGGGACAGTCTTCAAGCTGGGGATTGGTCAGGTCTCACCTCACCGGATGGCTCAAGATAGGCGTCACAGGTTCCATATAAGGCGGAAAATGCCTTGATTTGATAAGAGTGACTATTTGTGCTTCACTGAGTTCTTTTAATAACTCAGTAAAGACGCTGGACGATCAGGATTCGATTCCCAACACTGCCAGGAAGGTGTTTCTACGCCACCACGTCCAGTCCGGTCCTCCCAGGATCACTCAACTCCGTCTGGTGCTGAGGTATAGAAAGAGCGGACGACCAATATCCATGTCCCTTTATGACGTACAGATGTACTGCTTGCTGCCTGAAAGCAAGGAGGACTGCGGGCCTTCCGTGGCCTTGAAGCACGCAATTTCGTGACGGCTACTAAAGGCATATTAGAAAGATCAAATCAATAGGAAGACAAGAGGGACACGCAGAACACATGCGTTAAATAATAAACGGTTTCAAAATTTTAGTCAGAAATTTTAAAGAATTAGACCACTTGTAAAACCTAAGCATGGATGGCATGATAATATTAAAATCTAAAAGGAAAATAAGTTGTAGGGGTTTTGGCTGCATACTATTGGTTTTCCTTTTTATGGATATAAATAACGAACTATTAAAGATAAACATTTGAAATCTGGCAATGTGGCAGATAATGAACATAACTACAGTTAATGTTATTCTTTTAGAAGAATAAATTTATAACATCGCGATCATACACATCTTGAGGTTATAAAAAAAATCTGTACATTATTAAAGTAATCACAAGAAACAATTACATTAAAATCCAATGCGAGAAAACGGATAGAGCGCACTTAACTTCATACGTAAAAGCGAAGAAGTCTTAGTTTCGTTAAACGTCGAATTAAGCCATAACACCGACCACTCATTCGATTAATGGTGCCTTAGATCACTCTTACTCGCAACCGACACATCCTTGGAGTAACGAAGCTGTTGTCATAGTAACGAAACTGTATACGAAACACGAAAGCCACGTGGTAGTGGTGGAGGGGGCGGAGAAGAGGTGGGGTGTCAACACTCGTGCCAACATCACAGAAAACACTGGAAAAAAAAAGGCACAAAGTTCGCTTTTCCCTTTTTATTTCCGAATATGCATCATGCTGAGCAGCGTGAGAATTATTCGTTGTGTAAACACAAAATAAATTTGAACTTACATTAAAGAAACACATTTTACTGCTTAGAAAGGCCAAAAGTATGTTTCAACAAATAAAATAACAGGAATAATTTCTCTTATTCCCCTTTGTGGGATATACAGTGGCCGCTTGGTCACTGGGACCGTGGGTTCGAATCCCACTCAAGCCATGGATGTTTGTACGCGGTTTTTCTGTGTTGTGCAGGTAGAGGCCTTGCGACGGGCCTATCCCTCGTCGTAGAAGTCCTACCAAATGTCTACAGATCAAAAACCAACGATAAAGTTGGGACCCGCAGTGCTCAGGTACTTGAATAACGGGTCTGTCAAAGTATCTGGCAGAGTTTTCGTGGTTTTCTTTTCTAGTAGCGAATGACAAAACAGTATCCTTGAATAGGTGTCGACCACTTCATCTGTGTATATCCCAATCATAATTATCACAATTATGTTGTAGTAGACACCAGGTAATTATGCTCAACAAGAACATTTAATTAGACTACACACCTATGATTGTGTTAACTGCGCGTTTGTATTTGCTACACCTGGGAACGCGACCGAACACTGCAGGGCGTCTCTTTCACTCCCAAACAGACGCCACGCACCTGTTGCATACAGATCGTCCCGCGGGCGCTGCATTCTGCACCAAGACATAGCAGGTAAAAATAAATGAACGTGAAAATCGTATTCACTTTAGAATGACAAACACTCATTCGGATACGACTTTTAATTTTAAAGCTGGCAAACTGCCTAAACAATCAATTAGCATCTTTTGCACCTATAAGAAAACCTCAACATTTTGTACGGGGGAATTTTTACTAAAATCGGGCAACGACAACAGGAACTTCAAGTGCAGGCATAAACGCGGTTTTATTGATTAGGCGATGATCTCCAGCCGGTTGGGATACCGTATTTTAGGGGATTATCCGTGACGTCATCAATGAGCCAGATAGGTGCCAGACGCCTTGCCAAATCATAGGTCAAAGTTCAAGTTCTGGCGAAAGAATGTTCCATAACTGCGAGAATACACAAAGTTCTTTATGTATCGATCAGAGTAACACGTGCAGATTATGAAGCTCTTGCAATGTGCGTGGGCGACCTATTACTACTACTACTACTACTCGAAGTCGACCGCTACAAACTTTGTCACTTACTTCGACGCTGCTACACCCATTCATTGTTTTCAAGAATAAGATCTATTTTTATGTAAGTAGTGGTTTTGAAGCCACGGTGGTCTAGCGGTTAGAACGTTGGCCTTGTAATCCTGGGGTCTCGGGTGCCCGAATTTATAACTTGTGTTGGGCAAGGCCGTGGTCTAGGCAACACGGAGTTTTCCTCTGGGGGCTTCCCCGGTTTCTCCGTGGCATCCCAACAATTACTCCATTCACACACAGAAGCAGGCAATGGCAAACCACTTCTGGATCATCTGCCAAGAACGTATATGAACAGGTCCCAGTCCGAGAAAAGGATGGAAGGATCCTGTTCATATGGACCTGTCGTCAGACAGAACACTAATAATAAAAAAATAACACAGTGTTCCTCAATATTCTGTTCTGGGTCCTTTGCTGTTTAATGCATGGATTTGATGATTTATATAAATATTTGTAACTGCTACCGTTTCTAATCAACTTACTCTTGTTAAAAACGGAGAATCTCAGAAACATTATTCACTTCACTTCGCGTGGTTCTCTTAAAGGGGCCAGAGGCCTTCACTCGTATCAGCTGTTTCAAAACGTTTCACGACGGATGAGAAGCCGTTTGCATGTTTATAGACCGCAATCCTAGTCGCTAGCTCGCTGCCAGACATCTACAAAATCTGTTAGAAAATAAAATCTTTGTCATGCGAACGCACATAAAATGTATTTTGTCTCGTTCAACCTGAAATGAATCCGAAATGTTCTTCTGAAGCACGGATCTGTATATTAATGCGCTCTTCTCTTCGTTTTACGTGGTCAGGCCTGAAACTTAACCGGCCTTATGTATTATATCACGTCGATCACGTCCAGAAAGACTCTTTGCATGGGTTATCCAAGTACTTTAACATTCCAGAAAACAGTCGAAACACAGATATACAGAAATGGATTCAAACCCGGTGATACAACTGTGTAAGCCAATACATGCATTGGAATATTGGGGAATCCATATTTATGTTCTCGGAAATGTAAGCAGTGCGTCTCCATACTCGTAAATACTCAGATCGTTTCATTTTTAAGAAAAACGCCTTGGCTAAATGTTTCTTTATCCTTAATTTTTGTTCGTAATGTAGCAGATTCGAGTGCTATATACACATAACCATAAATGTAAATATGCGATTGTCTGTGGTGTATTTAACGACGTTGTCATTACATCAGACTATGTTGCGTCAAACTACAGGATGTTTAACAAGCAGACAATCATAAATTAAAATAAAAGAATCGGCCACGGCCTCACTTAAATTACTATTCTGGTATTTACCTGGAGGTACTGAGGAGTCTCAATCAGGTTAACAGGTCTCCAAACAGAGAATTGAACCCAAGACTCAGCGGACGATCGTTAAAAGGATGGGATGATAATCTACACAATATAATGAGCAATGTCCGTTTGTTTGTGCTGTTGTTATTGCAGTTGCCAAGGTAACGTTGCTAAGCAGTTTTTTATCTTGTGGGATAATAATTCTTTTGCGTGTTGTACCGTTGCCATGGTACTCCTGTTAAGGGATTCCCGGCCATACGATTTGATTTACAGAAGATTTTTAATAGTTCCTTTTCTAGATGATAAAATGGAAACCTACTGGTATTCGATCGGTTGAATGTTATTTTTCAACAAAAAGGACAGTTATCTGTGGGTCCCATTAAAATTATTATAAAGAAGTTCTGATTCTGTCATCAGAACGTACATTCGCATTCTCAAGAATGACTGATAAAATATCCCTTATGTTAAAACCCATTCTTAAAAAATTTTAAATGTCAATTCTCATTCAAACACATATGATCTGAAGCTTTCACGGCTACCAAGTATAAAGAATTCTTCTCGGGATACCATTAAACCACTTTACACGTTTGGTAGTCCGAGAAGAATTCATTATTCTCATTGAAACATATTCTCGTACTCAACCAGTTTTCACAGCCTGCAGCTGTAATAACACACTTCAAAATACAACAGATTTAGTAAGGTCGGGCCCATCTGCTATTTGTATTCATGCAGAGGAGATGTGTCAAATCCTGACTTATCTTTGAGTGTAGATGGCACTGTAAAGACAATTATTCTCGGGTTTAGGGATAACAATTTTTCCCATGGTATTAAACAATACGTATCGAATGATCATGCCAGGCCCACGATAATGTTTTTTCAAGAAATATTGATAATGTAAGCAATTATCTCATTTCTCTGCAATGGTCTAGCGGTTAGAAGGCTGGCCTTGTAATCCTGGGGTCTCGGGTTCGATTCCCGGCGGTGCCCGAATTTATAACTTGTGCTGGGCAAGGCCGTGGTCTAGGCAATACGGAGTTTTCCTCCGGGGGCTTCCCCGGTTTCTCCGTGGCATCCCAACAATTACTCCATTCACACACAGAAGAAGGCAATGGCAAACCACTTCTGGGTCATCTGCCAAGAACGTATATGAACAGGTCCCAGTCCGAGAAAAGGATGGAAGGATCCTGTTCATATGGACCTGTCGTCAGACAGAACACTAAATAAAAATAAACACAGAAGAAGGCAATGGCAAACCACTTCTGGATCATCTGCCAAGAACGTATATGAACAGGTCCCAATCCGAGAAAAGGATGGAAGGATCATGTTCATATGGACCTGTCGGCAGACAGAACACTACAAATAAAAAAAAACAAAATAAAATTTTGGACAACCTACTGAGTACTTGCATAGTTGAGTAATTACACACCTGCGGAATTATGGGCCTTAACGCTGGAAAGAGGATCTTGAGGCTTGAGGCTTGGGTACAAGCAGAGGAAAACAGAGGAGTGGAAAACGAATAACAACTGGAAATAGAAGGTATGAAAAAATAGACGCAACAGGAAGAAATAAGACATACAAAGAACGCCGGAGACCTAACCAGTGCTTCACCCCAGACGGATGAAGGACCTCGCACTTTGTGACGAAACGCCATCCTGCAATTGCTGGCCGGCGAGAATCTCTGGAAAGAAGCTGAATTGAACTGGGAGCCGAGTAGCGTGTCCAATCAGCTGAGTGATGCTGTGGGCGGAAGGGAATCCCCCCGACAAAACAAGCAGCCGGACAAGTGCCGCTGATAGCATGCTCATTCACGAAAGAAAATTGAGTTTTTATGCAACCAGCAGTGCGGAACTGTCACAGAAACTTGCAGCTTGCACTCCACTGGACCTTGTTGACGCTTATACGCAACTTCGCAACGTCCTCTCTTTCGTCTTGACTTTTATTATTTACTACTTGCTTTCTTCATTTTATTCTCTCTTTGTTCACCTCTCCACCGTTTTATATAGTCCTTTCCCTGTTTTTCTATCTTATTTGCTTGCGTCTGGTACGTTTTTTACGAGGTCCGATCGAAAGGTTTCCAGACTGTGCCTATAAAAACCCGTACACTTATCTCAGGTATTAAATTCATCCATCACCCTCGAAGTAGTTCCCCTGGGAGTGAACACAACGATCCCAGCGCCGCTGCCAAGCCTGGAAGCATCCCTGGAAATCTTTCTTTCTCAGCCTGTCAAGCACCATCTGCGATTCTGCCTCAATCTCTTCTATCGTCTCAAATCTCATTCCCTTTAGCTGAATTTTCATCTTTGGGAAGAGGAAGAAGGCACACGGCGAATAAGGAGGGTGCGGGATGACGGCCATGGTGTTTGAGGCCAAAAACTGCCGAACTGCTTCTGGTCCTCAGACAGGAGCCTTGGCGTCGCATGTGGAGTTCTTCCTTTAGAATCAGCTGACAGGTCCCATAGCCTATCCCAACAATGTCGCACAAGTCGTTGACGGTACGATGTCGATCTTCGTGAATGGCCTGCCGAATCTTCGTAACATTTTCGGGCGTTGTGCTCGAAGATGGTCGTCCAGAACGCTCGTCATCATCGACAGAGGTTCGGCCATTTTTAAAACGTGAATGCCACACAAAAGTTTGCGGACTCCCCAAATGCTTGCTTGAGGCTAATTCGATGATGCCGGCTGGCACACTGATTCACTATGAATGTAGGCCGCACCCCCTAGCGGCAGAAGCTCGTACTACATCCGGTTCGCCCTCTATTGACACAGTCTCGAAACTTTCCGATCGCACCTCGTATACATCACCTTGCCTTGCTTACTTATTTCATCATCTCTCTTTCACATTTATATATTTATTTCTATCCTTCCTTTATTACTAATTCATTTAGGATCTATTTCTCCCACAGTGTAAAATTTTCACAATGCTGGACTACTTTTGCTTGAGAAATTTTACTTGTACATTACAACTACTTCGATTAATACTGCTGTTTCCGCTACCAAGATCATTACATCATTGCGTCAATGCACCACGTCATGATAAATGTGGAAATTATCCTTGAAGCACTTGGGATCTACAATTGATGGAAATAAGCACGCACTATCTATTTTATCTCTGGGTAAGGGACTCGGGACATCTTGTATATAAGCGGTTGAGTGGAAATTAGAGCCATTTTAGAAGTAGACATAAACATCGAAAGATTCTATCGGAATTTCAACATTACACATCATGTCAATAGCACGTCTGAAGTATCAAAGCAAGGAACAAGTGGCTTCTTCTCGATGCCTTCGTGAAAAAGGAGCTGTATCTAGTGTTTATACTCGTTCTCTGTCTAGCCTTCGTAGTTCTTTGAGAAGAAAGCTTTGTCGAGTTTAACGTGTCGCAGATTTTGTAAATCATCAGACCAGCAAGGAAAAAACTGTGTACACAGAACGCAAATCAGTCAATGGCCAGTCCGTTGCAACCTCCGAACAGAGATGTGTTAAAAGTTGAAGATGATTACCGGAAAACGAGAAAATTTCAGGCTCTTAGAGCAGTAGTGGCACATGTCTCCTTTATCACTGTTTATTTTTCATCCCTACAGGTTCAGACATTCGAACGATAACTTAAAAAAAGGTTTCCATTCCCGTTCTGTCATGTACTGAAAACGTCTGAATATCTTATTTTGCCTTGCACATTACGAATACCTTCTGCAGCTGGAATCAATTCATGTAAACGTCCGTACTTCGGAACCTCATGTACTGTTACTTTATTACATTAATATTTGATCGAAAAAGTCTGCGTTACTTCAGTAGGCTTTAGGCAAAGCAGCTGAATTGTCTAATTTCTAAACCAATCTGAACTCAATTTATACTTTAAATCTTCCAATGAATGTCAATGTTTTTGATTTGCCGACAAATACCAGATTCCCAGGTTAACTGTGTAAAACGAAGTATATAAAATATGCAGCACGTTTTCTGTCTCCGTACCATTCCAAAGAATCCTTTCGAACAGTCGAACACCAAGAAACAAATTTGTCAGTAAAGAATTCTTTCAAGTGCCAGTTATCGAGAGAGTGATAAGCCCACGACGTTTAACTGATAACCTCCCGGTTTATAAATACAGAAATTCTGGCAAACTTGGACATGGACTTACGGCGAGCGAGGCCGGTGTTAGCCACGTCTAAAAACAAATTAAACCAGAAGTCCACAAGATACAATGACGTCAGAATTAGACGCGCCCACATCACGATCAGCACAGACAATTTTCAGATGCAGTTAAAACCTTTCATTTGTTGAGGTAGATGTCAAAGTTCTTTTACGAGAGTACAGAAATTCAAATCGTGGATACGCTGTATCGTACACAGTGTTGGTTAAACAGGATTTTATTTTA